GAGAGAGAGAGAGAGAGAGAGAAAGAGAAAGAGATGTAATAGAAGTAAATGTATTTTTTCTTAGTTTTTCTCAAACTATCTCGTCTGCATTTTCTCCATTTTTCTGTTTTTCCTCTCTCTAATATCTTCTCGTAAATTATGTGATTATCTATGTTTATGTATGTGCATATAGGAATGCAGATTAAATGACAAATGAAATAAGAGGGCTGAAAGGGCAGAATAGGAAAGACGAGGATACGTGAGTGTTTATTTTACCCCTTACTGTATGATGTGCGTGGTGCGTGGGTCGGAAAAGAGGAGGGAGGTGAAGGAAGGAATATTTTTCCGCATCGAGATGCAACCTACTGAATATCGACTTTTGCTCGGAATTTGTTAACTCTTAAATTTATTACTTATCATCACTATTCGGAACATTAGGAAGGATCTGATATCGGGTAATAGTTGCTCGTGTACTTGTCGAATCGCGCCGCTGATCGCAATGGAAATAATCGAAGCTTATGTACGTCAGACTTACGCTACGTTAAATACGAAGCTCAAAGTACTTTCTTGCACGTCACTAGGTAAAAATGCAATTCTCCGAAAGAGATATCAAATTTATCCACACGTGGTGGATATTTATCCTTGTACAGCCCACATCTCTTGCTCGTTGCCCGTCCCAAGTCCCAGTCCTAGGTCGCGACCTAATCTCTTGATCAAATACGATAGTTACGTATGCGGTGAGAACGCATCCGATGTGTCAAGTCATTTAAGAAACCGAGTAGGTATAGAAAGCGAATCTAACTATTGACAAGTCGAACGTTCGTTAGATCTTATCGTTAATGACGATTCAAGTAAAAACGAGATATTTTTCTCTCTCGTTTGCGCGCGCGCCCGCACGCGTCCACTAGATGTCTAGATCTAGACCTAGATCTCGTTGCTCACTCGTAGCTCACTCGGAGCTCGCTGCTCCAAGAGCTGAGAGGAATGTCTTGCCAATCCCTCCAGTCGCTTAGCCGCAATTTTCGATCGCAATTCCACTCTACTGCCCATCTACACCGTCTCTGTTTTCTCTCCTACGTCAGATTACTTGGATGCTCTCCCTCTCTCCCTCTCTCTCTCTCTCCTACTCCCGCGCCTCTTCTCGTTCCATCTCGACCGCTGACCCCGTCGATGCCCAGCATCGATCCGAGTCGACATCCTCTTCCTCTTCCTGCCTTCCGTCTTTTCGCTGCGACAGTTTCGTCTCCGACGACTCGTTTCATCTGCCATTGAAAATTTCTTCCGGTAGCATTTAATCCATGACTCGACTGCAAAATGCACAAACGTACTATCTAATCCGACTCTGTTTATTGATGTTTTCTCGTATTCTAATTTTTCAACTTTAATAATACTTGACCCGCCTTCCGCTCTCTTTGTCTCTTTGTCTCTGACACATTCAGCAACGCTCATATGCGGTTCCGTTAACTCTTTATTACGCGGCGATATTATTCAGAAGATGTCGAAATCAACATCAGTTTGGCTTTTGAAAAATGAGGAAAAGCATGTCGTCACGAGATGCGAGAGCAAAACGGACGACATTAAAATGCCAGTGGAACGAATGATCGGAGACGTATGCGTCTATCTGCCCCCCCCCCCTCTCTCTCTCTCTCTCTCTCTGCCGCAACCGCGACCGCGACCACGACCGCGTTCGTTAACCGACAATGGACAGTGTCTTCGGCGCTCGTCGAGCAATCGATCAACCGACTCTGTTCCTTTCTCGCACTTGCGATGATTCGCGCCTAGTGGAGGCTCCGAGGCACACGTAACGCGGTGCACGCGTAAATATGGATAGTAAGTACGCTGGAGCAGGTAACACATGCCGGCGGTTACATCCTTGTCGCATTTGCTTTACTACATGTAAATGTGTTTGTATATGTTACTATAGCGCTCTCCTCTATAGCGTCTCGAGCTCGCCGCGTTACGTCGTTGTGTGTTCTCCTCGTAACTCGTAACTCGTAACTCGTAACTCCGTCTTTATGTACGTGTATGTTTGGTGAAGATGCCCGGGGGTACTCTGGTTGTGCTCCGTATTCCTAACATTCGTTAATTCATTCGCGCTCTATCGGGGGATAAGGAGCATTCACCGAGAGCGGCAGCAGGGCAGTCCTCTTGGCCGATTTATTTGTGGTTGAAAGAGAACGGGGATGGGCCAGTCACCGCGCTTCGGTGGAAATGCACGTTCTGCCACTTGTTGTCCCTCTTGTGCCATACGCGGCTCTCCTCGCTTTGCTGGGTGTGTGCTACGCCTTGTCTGCCGATCAAATCGATAGAAACATTCTTAGTACGGAACTTGTTTCTTTCTTTCTTTAATGTTCAATAGAAAGTGCTAATTATTCATCAAAGATCGACACGTAAGATAAAGGCGAAAATTATCAGCTTTCTTTATCTCTTTCGTCACGTGGAGACTACTCCGCTTAACTACCTCTTTGTTTTTACAATATTTACTCACTTGTCCATGTACTGCGTCAACCTGACATACGCGATGCAAGCGGCATCCTCGCCGAGCAGGTGGACATGGGGATTCAAGATCGTCGTATTGACAGCTTTGCAGTTTTTCCCCAGAACTGCTTAGAGTGTTGACGGAAAACAAAATCAAGAGTTACTCGAATACCGCCATTTATTAATGCACAATGTTGAAGCTTTTTACAATATTTCAAAATGTTGTAAAAGGAACGGAGAAAGAGAGAGGGGCCAACTATTACCATCTATGGTAGGTACTGCGGAAAATGAAAGAATAGCCAGAAAGACAAATGAAAATTGTATTAAAAAATTCTTATATAATTGTATATCGTTACATAGAGCCAAGCAAACTTGTCTCTACATCGAAGCTTTTTATAATTTCTCGTGCAAAATCTTCCGATTTATTCATTGCGATAGAAATTTAATTCTATTCATAAACAGAAAACTTGATAAAAATATTTTTTCTCCTTGTCAATTTTATAATTTATATGAAGCATTCTGACATGTGTAATTCTTTATTACTTGATGTTTTCATAATAATAAATATTTTAAGGATATAGATATAATTTTAACTTTCTTCAAAGTTCTAACTATTTTCAGATTTCAAAATTGTAAAAACAATGACAAAATTTTACAAGTACGAAACTTAAAAAAACATTTTTGACCGGAATAACGTATATCTCTAAAGAATTTGCAGTCATCTACAATTTCATATATGCCTCTATCTGGTCTCATTGATTTAAAGTAAGGAGAGATGCAAGAAGCAGGATTATTGTTATTTTAGAAATTATTTAGATTTTATTTAGATATTATTTAGAAATTATTTAGAAATTAGAAAATAATAAGACTATAAAATTGCAATTATTTCAAGATATTTTATAAAAAATTGTTTTATATAATAATATCCAACTACTTGCAAATGTACTTTTATCAGGCGAGAAAGTAATGAATTTGTAAGTGGATACTCCACTTTCTACAAATAAATCCATCGATATATGGAACATGCTCAAAATATAATATTTATTGAACAGATTAATCGCTACGAAAACACACTGCTACTAAATACACAAGCGCGAGGATTAACGATGATGCAAACAAGTGATAATTACCATTGTCAAAGTAAAATTTGTGGAAATCCATTCCTTCGACTAAATTACCTAGAGCCTCCGGCTCGAACGCGGTCAGATGTGGATCACAGATTTTCCTGAAAAGAAATTAAAGGAGATTAGCGTTGTTAATATGTTGGATTGTGATAATTATACAATGATATTCTTTATTTTATTATAATCTGTTTTAATAGTAGGCTTTTTCGGAATGAAATAAAAATCTTTACGCTGAAAAATCAACCAATCCGCAAATTTACAGTGTTTGTACAAAAAGGAAAAAAGAAAGCAAATCGGTTTATTAAAAATAATTTTTAATACCTTTGAAAAGATAGAAAAAATTTACGTAATATATCTCCCGAAAATAGGACAGTGGAGCGTATGATTTATTTAAACACATATCAAATCGTTGCGTAAAAAGTATATATACGTGTAGTGCTGATAGCAAAAATGTGTGCCAAGTGCAAGCACATGTAAATATTTTACATGTTTGATCCCCCTCTCTCTTTCTCTCACAGGTGTCAAATATTTCGCAATCGCATGTCTTTTGTTTTTAAATACAATTAAGAATTAGCAAAATTTAAATACAATGAAAAATAGCAATTTTGTTTGCAAGCTTGATGAGTTAATTTATTGTCTACCTTTAACATACTCGTCGAATTGACATTCATTCATTCAATCCTTTTAATCAACTTGCACGTATATATATCAGGAGAATTGGTTATTTCTACTAAATTGATCATCAATCGCTCACAATCAGACATGTTGTAACATAAAATGTTTGAACCGCTATTTATATTTCATTATGTGTGTACCGCTTAAAATTGTGCCAGATTGTCTACGATTGACAAGAATTGACAATTTATTATATTGTAGTAGAAATAACGAAAGACATAAAAAGTTTGTTTAAACGAAAACTTGATGTTGAATATCCTGAATTTCTTGTCACTTCCTCCAACACTTGCGTTTATCTGGCAATAAGTATTGTTGAAGTAATCTGTAATAAAATTTGTCTGGCTGATTACTTACGTGTATGCCTCGAAATCTCCGGTATTGATGCTCTCAATCAACTGCTCGGTCATCTTGATGATTTCCTGTCGGCGTGCTGGAATCGTCAATAATATATAAATGAGTGAATCGGTCCAGGCCGAGGCGACCGGCACATTTTACGGTACAAACACAGTCGCATGCACTCAAATTTTTCGTCAACTTTTCTAAAGCCCTACGTATGATTCTGCATAGAACCGATGAGCCACACTCGGGCAAAAAAATGAGCTTCCCGTGTCGCGAATCCGTACAGTTATGAAAATTTCAGTCGCCAATTGGAGCAGTGGGACCTCGAAAGAGATTTGTAATGCTCTGCTTTGATATTTCATATACTCGTATGTATAAGAGAAATGCAACTATAGTAGTAACGATTAAAGCTATTATGCAATGAAATAGAAATAATTTCATGAAAGAAGCTCTTTGGCCGAAAAATACCTATGTTATTATAATTAATCAGATTATAATAAACCAGTGCGTTGAAAGTAAAGAGTACGTAAAATACACAGAGAATTAATTTCCATAATGAAAAGTCTCTCTCGTGTTGGCCGATACAAGCGAGCCGTTCTTGCGCGCATCTCTCTCTCTCGTCACCGTGGTCGTTTCGTTTCGTGTCGGCTGACAAGATCCGAGAGAGAGAGAGAGAGAGAGAGAGAGAGTAACCCGAATTGCCAGATTGCCGATTGAGCGCGGCGCAGCGCGTGTCTCGCGTTTCTGTCATTCTCTCTAATAACCTTTCCCCTCAGGCTCATTCAGGCTCATTCAGGCTCATTCACTCGGCAAGAGCGCATCCATCTACGCATTCTGCATCTTCGTACAACGCACGACGCCTAACTTGTCTCAATTATCTTGTTACGAACGAACGGCCGCGCCGGTCGTTGGATTAGTTATTTCGTGCAAAAATTATTTTTCTTATCAAGATTATCTTGAATTATCTGACGGACGTCTATATTAAAGGTGTAGCATAATAGTTGTTGGATACCGATAGATTAATACCAGAGTGTACCGTTTAATCTAACGACCACGGTACGTTCGTCGATGTTACTTACGTCATAGACCAGCAATTGTGTGCATCATCATTCCTTAGATGCCGCTTCAACAGTCGAAGCAAAGTTCCACGGGAAGAGTTGAAAAGCGTCGGGAGATCGCGAGATAGTACACGTTATTATTTCAGATTTCGTGTGTGCTGTTAGAATTTCGACTTTCCTCTCGAGAGAAGTTCCGAACGATCGAGTCCTTTTAGGAACTAGGCAACATCCTGCCAGATGACACGAGTACGAGATAAACGCGATCGCGCTAAAATAACGATGCGAGAGTGTCACGATGAAAAATAATATCGTAATGAAATCGCAGATTGGAAAGTGTCACACTTTCGATTTCTAGGATATGCACCACTACCACCATCTCGCACAACCGCCAGTTTTCTTACATTACTATGCCTGCGCTACCGTCTTCCTTCTCCTACAACTAATTCAACTTTACCGCATCTCGGGCATTACATTACGAAGCTAATCATCGTTCTCTAATTATTAAGCATGACACCCTCTCCTTCTGCGCTCTATATATCTTACTATTACGCGAGGGTGTCGCAAACTTTGCTCATTCGACACTCGGTAAGCACTTTGGGCTATATTATAGTTGTACGAGTTTACAGGATTCGCATAAGACAGAGAAATGTTTTAAACAACCGGTCATTTCTTCGATAAATCACTCTTCTCGACACTATATTATCAACCTTAGGACCACATTTTTCTTCGCAATCAGACCCGAGAAACGATAACGACGCCTATTTCTCGCAAGAGCGGTCGAGTTATAGAAAATCTAACTAGAAATTATACTAGATATCGTATTATTGTATCAACTGCGATATTGATATTGCGAACCGTGCTCTTCGACATTGTGCGCTTCTGGACAGAGGAGAACACATTGCGTTAAAGAAGAACCGAAGCGTTTCTTCGTCACTATAAATACATAAAGAAAAAGGTTAAGTCCAACTTTGCTCCTTCTTTTGGCAATATGTTTCCTTTGGCAAATTCCTAAACGATGAAACTAACGAGAGTACTTTCTCGATTAGTTTCATTTTCCTTGGTTGTTCGCTTACGACGTAATTTCGCACTTTACCTGAGCACTGGGAGTTGGTTGAGAGCTGGCTGCAGGTCTTGATAGGACACACGATTCTTAGGTCTACAAGCAATATATATATATATCCCTTTCGTATTAAAAAATGGACAAGACGGTTATCATTTTCAAGGCAATACTCAAGCTGCTGTACAAACACTAAGAGGATTAAGCTTCGTCCATGTTTAACTGCTTTCCGATACGAGTAACAATTTATTCCAGTCGTTTATCAAGATAAATAATGGCGAAAAGTCCACAGAAGCCTAGATCACGGAAATATAGTTGCGTCTCTCGATGTTTCATTTCATCGATAAAAGCTACTGTCAATTAGCATAATCCTCACGTGTCGTATCGTCCACAAGAGGATTAACCGTCTCCCCGAATGTTCTTATCATCCGTTTTCTCATCTCCTGCTTTACTATTTCCGTCGTCCATCACGTTTGCAATATTGCATTAGATTGTGCTTAAACATTATCGCTAACTATGTTGTAGTACTATTATTTTCATAGTATACATGGTGCACATATAAACGCTATATAATGTTTTCCATATTTGTCGTTTTTATTATTTTGCAATTTGATTGCAACATGGAATCGAATGGATCCTCCTGTCCCCTCCATTATGATTCATCATAATTTAAGTTTAAACGATACGCACGCATGTGAACGCAAATTATAATTATAGAAAGGACGAGATATTCGTGGAGTTGAGGTGGAATCGCGGCAAGAGGCTTCGCTCGTAACTCTAATACACGTCCAGAATCTTAATCATTTTCTTGCCAATTGCTGCGAACGTTGGAGTATCGGGTCAGCCAGTTTCCAATGAGGAGAAAAGTTATGTACTATTTTGCAAAATTTACAAAAATTATTGCGTAATTAAGAGAAACGTTTGAGCGAATGAGCACGCAAGGTGCCGGACTCGGCAGACACGGTTTATTTGATTGTATCTCCTATAGGATCTGATAGCGAGAGGTGGAGTCACACACATCGAGTGGCGAGCGGCAAGTGGAGAGGAGCGAGGGACGTTTAAAGTTATAAACAAATAAGCCATTTTGTGCGCTCATTTGCTCGGACCACTCTTACATATAAACATTGTTACAAGTATATCCGAAATATTATTTCGGCTGGTAGTAAACAATCTGCGTAATGTAAATTTGCTTTGGTGTTAATTAGAAAAACTGATCGACGCACGGCCATCAAATCAGGTGGTTAAGGTAAACGTATACGCAGACATCTCGGTCTGGCCAGTCTCGATTACTTACTACTTGCTTACGACGCACGGAGACAGCGTTATGTTGAATATTCGATATGATGGATATGGGATGAAACGTAATCAAGGGAATTCGATCCATTCATTAATATGATGAATGGTAGCCTGGAATATCTCTATCGTAATATCGTAATATCCAGGTAGCCAGTTAAGCCACTTGGTTAAGTGTACACGTTTAAAAATTGGAAAAATTACACGAAAAATAGTATGAAAATAAATTGCAAATTTTAGTTATCTCTTCATTTTCCCGCTAGGATTTTCGCGCTGGGACGCTTCCCTACGTATTTTCATTGTTCTTAGAAAACCTCATATGCAACGAAATGAAAAACCTAGGGGGGAAAAAACAAATTCATTTGGTTGATAAACTCGATTTTTGTGTCTCTTAAGAAATTATGATTATATCTCGTTGGTCACAAGAGGTTTCATGAAAACAACTACACTCGTATATCATATTAAAAAACAATATTACTGTTGTATTTTGTCTATTTATTGAAACACGTCACTTTGTCTAACTAACGTTAAGGCTTCTAATCGGAAAAGTAGTCATTTGCGGTATAACATTGAAGTAGTTATTGCCTTGGTTCTTTTTCGTTGCCCGGTGTGAAAATATTGCAAGGAAACACGAGGCGGCCCACGCGAGTTTCACAGCAAACCACAAGACGTGGGACTCCAACACGGTGGTTGCTGCGTGCTCCTCTCCCTCGCGTTTATCCCGAGCTTACGGGTGTCGACGGTTCTCTTACCGTCTTCGGGATCCTCGTGGAGGACGCGGTCCACCTGGGAGGACGCGTGTCGGCTCATCCGTCGTGCCTCCCGTTCTGCACATTTTTTTTGCGGGATAGGTGCATGCAGGCGCACACAAGGCGCGCAATCACGAGGCGGTACGCGAAACACGTGCAGCATGCAGAAACACACAGAGACACAAAGAGAAACAAACTGGTAACACAATGTCGACCGCGCAATAATCTCGCGGAAGAAAAGTGCCGATAACTCGAAGCCACGTGGATAATCACATTTGAAGAAATCTCGGCCAGTTGGAGATGCCATAATATAGTAAAATAAAGACAGGGCTCGAGAGAGACGTGACAAAGAATGATATTTAAATACCGATATGTGTCTAGATAAAGAGAATTTTGGATAAATCGAGCGTTCTTTACAATTTTATTGCTTTCAACTACATTGTATGAGAATATCCACTTTTGTTTCAACCTCATGGGATTTGGTACAATCTCCAATTTCGTTTCCCAAATTCGCTCTTCGCAACAGTATTCGAAAATACTGATTGCGCGCGTTAGCCTGCATTCGAATGCACTCGAACGCACTCGAAACGAGTTAATCTCATCTCGAGCGCGCTATTTAAGTATCAACGTTGCTAATCGCATTAATGTCAATTGTCTGGTTCGCGCAGGTGGCGGCTGCTTGACGTAATGCCGGTCAAGGTGATCCCAGGAGGAATAATATCCCAGAAGGCGGAGAAGCTTCTCCGTCGGTTTAAATCGAGCTTGCGAGGTATCGGCTCAACCGCAACCGGGATAAGTCGCAATTGCGAGTAAAGAGGATAGAGGGTGGAGAACATCAATTTATGCGCGATGAGAATACCTTGGAAATCTTCCCAGAAGATGCGTTCGGTTTGCATTTCTATTTTGTCCTTGTTCCTTTTTTCTGAGTTTGATATAACGAAGAAGCGCAAATAAAGCCTCAAGAGCTCATAAAACAATTGCCTGTGTGGTATTACCGTTTAACATTCGTATCCAATAAGGGATCCATTACGAAAATGCAAAATTTTTATTTTCGTTTGCAATTCTCCATTGCACCTTCCGACGTGTAACGCGACATTTTATTTCAGACCAGAGAGAAGAAAAGGTGTTGGAGCACGTTGACAAAAATGGCAAAACTTGACTTGTCAATTAATGGCTTTTCGTTCATATCGATCACATGAAATGTATTATATCTTGTTGACTGCAACACGTTTGCACATTTCGTTTCGCTTGATTCGCGGCGATTACAATAATACTTCTGCCCAAGGGTATTTCCCAATATTTTGTTAAGCGTGTCTTACTTACTGCTGCTTTTTCCAGCACTTGTGCAAATCGATCTTACAAACTGGATCAACTAAAAGTAGACGAGAAATGGATGTTTTGACCGAACGAATTAAAGGATCGTTCCCACCCTCTAGGAAAAGGGAACAGGGAAGGAGCATCGAGACGGAAAGGAACGGTGCCAGATTATCGTGCTACAGACCGGTGGACGAGGAATCCTGGCGTCGCGATGCTATCGGCTCGTTGCTGCCATTCGCCTGGTGGCAGTGGCGGCTGACACTGGCCGGCGACGATGGCGACGCGCCGACCTGGCTGTTCTGGCTGTTGTTGCTGCTACCGCTGCTGCTACCGCATCCTGCGCTGCCAGCTAGTCATGCAATCAACCAACCAAACACGAGCTAGTGTCAACGTCAAAGAAGCCTTTGCACGTCGCGTCGAGTCGTGTCGTGTCTCGTTCGCCTCGCGTCCGACCACTCTCTACATCTTTCGCCAATTCTCCTTTCTACCATTTATACAACGACCAACGGGAAAACGCAATATCTTGAAAGAAATTTTTCACCCAATTTCAACTTGACCAAGTTATTTTTCTCATCCAGAACATTTATATTATCTTGACATACAAATCAACTATACTTTCGGTAATTTGTGCGTACAAGAAATTCTAGTTGCGAATGTATATAGCACTAGGCTATTCGCAACCAGAATTTCTTATAATAATGTATTAGTTGACAAACTTGTTGCATTAACGTGTTAATATTACTTTTCACGTTTCTTGCCCATCAAACTCATTCCACTTGCAGAATTCAACGGGAATGAATGTAGCTTGGGCGAGATAGTGTAAAACGCGATCGATCATCGCGCGTCGTCTATTCCCAACGCTCGAATCCGTAAATAATAAAGATCCGACGAAAGAGTGGCGGAGCAAGGGAGTCGTCGAGTGATATATCGCCGGAAGAACGAGATGGCGAATCGGTATGTTTTATAACTGTCCGAGTCCTGTTCAACGGAAAGGAATAAAAGTTGGAAAAAGTAAAGGAAAATTACCGATCGAACGATCCATCCGGTCAATCGATTATTCGTCAGACAGTTCTGTCTACGTATGTAAATATGTCGAGGAAAGATCGAAGAGAGTGACGTGAAGAGAAACGACGAGAAAAGTTGGCTTTTCTCCCGTTTCCATCGCACCTCTCACGCAAGGATCGTTTTGGTTGGGAGGACCTTATCTACAGTCTAAAAAATATCACGTGTGTAGATGTGCAACGTGAATGTAAAGCAAACGCGAACCAAAAAACATGGACAAGCTGTCGGACAAAACTTAAGGTGAGAAAGCGTCAACGCCAAGAGGAAAGTAGTGCGAGAAAAGCGAGGGATGTGTTGTAACGAATCTCGTGAAAAAGTATACATAATTGAAACAGAGGAAAAAATTTCTTTTTCTTCATAATAAATTTCAAATCATGCTACGGCTCTCTAAAGCAGAAATGCTTGGACCGATTTCTGCCTCGTCCTCGTTTTATCAGCAATTATTGCTACGCGTCGTGTATGTACAATACGTGTACCTATATGTCTTCTCTACGAAGAATCGCGATAAAGCGTCGAAGCAGAAATGGGTCATCCGACTTGGGTAACCTTACCGATTTGTCGATCAAACTGCCGTTAGTTGCGCTTTGTATCTCCTTCCTGTCTACATGCCTACATCTCATCCTGCGACACGAGTAGAGAGAGAGAGAGAGAGAAACTGCGACATCAATTGTTCCGCGGAACAAGCCCGCAAGTTCTTTTCTCGCAAAGGGCAAGAGAAATTTACAAGTATGCGTTTATGATTCGAAAAGTTGAAAAACTCGAGCGAGCCGCGGTCGATAACGCATTGTAATTACCATATCCGTATCCCTAACTTTGACGCAAGCCCATATTTATCATATTCTATTATTTCCCTTTTCCCATTCAGATTATAATATGACAGGTGATTCCTAAATGTTCTATTGTTGCATAATCTATAAACATAGACCATTAAAAAATTTAGAAAAAATTTTGTTAAGAAAAGTTTTACGTCTTACACAGCGAAAGGATCTTTGCGCATATCTTCTGGTCACGATTTGATAAGTTCAATTTAAACAAATATATCGCATATTTAATTCGATTTACATTCAACTCGTTACCTCTTATCAAGCAACATTCTCTCAGATTATTTCACGCGTGAAATTCAATTGAAAAGTATCCTACATACAACGAGAGAATGTTTTTTTTTTCACATTGAGATGGAAGAATAATCAATTTAAAAGTTTCGGAAAAACAATATTCGAAAGATCGGCCCGTCGGAATTCTGGCATCGAATAACAGCTCCGAAATATATTTCGGTTGCAAAACATTTTGAACAAATATATTTCGAGAACAACGGCAAATATCCGATACTTTTAACAAAAGCATCGTTGTAATCCCATGTTTTACTCTTCTTCGCCAATTCGCGTTTGATTAATCAATCGCAATCGTAGTAAAAGCTGGATGAATTCAACGTTTTCGCGGATGAACTGACGAATGAAAGGTTATTTATAATATCAACAAATGCTTTCGGCCGTACTTTTCTCTCAGTGCATTTAAGAATAATTTTAACTGCCTATTAAGTGGATAGGCTCGAAATCTATAAGCAGGGTGAGATCTAAAGATATCGTGAGAGAGATGTTTAAGCTTTTTAGATTTTAAAGCGAAAAACCTAATTTAGATTCTATGAGATCTATTTTTCTTCAAGATTAAATACACAATTGTCATAAATTTGTATCTTGGGAAAAATTAAACAAACTTTCGTAAGATTATAGGAACGTAGAGGATTGAAAATTAAGGTTCAACGACTCGATTCATCCCAAGTTCCACCATAAAGTCCATCTAAATCCTGAATTTACCTTGGGCCCCTTGAAGAAGAACCGCGGCAATTCCGAGGGGGGCAATTCCTGTACCCTGAATCTGGGCCTGGGCCTGAACCTGGGCCTGGGCCTGGCCCTGGGTCTGGCTCGGGATCTGTTTGTTCACCATGGATGTGGCTGCGCCAACCGCCTTGGAGAACGCGGACATTGTCGCGGGGCTGCTCGGAGGTGTACCTTGGGACGAGCCAAGAGCTTTTTGTTTCGAAGGGGGATCTTTTCCTCTCAAGAGGAATAGTGCACCAATCAGCAACACGGATCAAAAATGGAACTGGTCACAAAGCATAAAAGGCAACAAGCAAATTCTGCGAGGCGACTGTTGTCGCGACGCGACCTACGATCTTTATTTCAACGAAATACTACGAACGATACTGAGAAAACGCTATGAAGAGAGTAAACCTTCAACATTGATCGATTATTACCAAGGGCGCGTTCGAAACAATACAAAGTCGCGAAGCCACATCTCGCTTATTGGACCAGATCATATAACGTTATTATCGAGCTAATTTATGTTAAACGTAAACAAATTAACAAACAGCATTATTGAGCAATATCAATCTGACACAAATGCCATGACAAACATACATTAGAATTAGTTCTTAGGAAGATAGAACTCTTTATTCCTTCGACACAGAAGACAGGAGCATAGCGTTGGTAAAATATAACAATTTTTATGTTAGCAAAAAGATTAATTAAAGTCGAAAAAGCAAAAGAAGAATATTTAATCTGTTAAACGGTCGGGATCAGTACTTGTTGCAGATTTTAGAGAGAAAGAGAGAGAAAGTAAGAGAGTAGAAGTCAACGGTCAATTATTTGCGTACAGCAATGGCCTTGTACAAGTGGAACGAGAAAGTGATTCCGCGTAAATTTTCGCTTGTGCGTCCTAGACAAGGTTTATTCTTGAAATAGAATCCTAGAAGCGCGTTCATATATATAATCATGAACCGACTGTACGTAGCATTTAACGGCAACGAAAGTTTGTTTTGCATATTGACATTGTTACAGGCTGTTCGCGATTAACATAGAGCCAGCAACGATCGGCATACAAAACACTCCAGTTTCCCGCGTACTTGGTCTACGAATTCTTTAGCCCTTTTCAGAATAAACTTTTCTCGATTCTGTTCTTGTTGAGGGATCGATAATTTAGGATTTAAATATGAAGAGTGTTTTATTTTTCAGAGGACTTTGACAAAAGTTTAATTCATGGGCGCACGCAAAGGTATTAAGGTGAAATCTTTCAATACTTGTTTTCTAACCAAAAAAAATTAATTTACATGTATATATCTAATAAAATTAAGTATTCGATATTTGTTGCAAGAAATAAATAAGACTTGTAGAAATAACCATTTACATATTACATTACTCCAGAACAAATTCTCCAAGAAAAAACGAATTTACGTCGAAAATTTTTACTGTTGATTATTAAGTAACCCAATATTAAGCAAATAAAAGGGCAAAGCATAATTGTATGAGATGGACGCAAATATAGGTATACGTATATGTAACAAAATTACAGCGAAATGTAATGAAGACTCGAAACCTCCAGAGACTCACCGTAATTCTCCGTGTACTTACAATTAGACGAACTGGATATGGCATTAGCCGACATCACGATAATGTTTTAAAAGGCGTTTTCACTCAATCACACGCGGAGAGCACACGATGTTATCGTAATAACGCGGCATAATTTCAACTGCACAAAAATTTATATTTTGTGAGGATGCGAAAGTAAATCTCTCCCGTAACACAGAGAAATATTTGCGAAATAGCCGACACGGCAAAATCCAAAATCGAGAGACGAGCTTTTGTCGAGCGCAACTCAATTCACTCGGGAGATGAGTCGAACGTACGACCAAGTCTTGAACCGCTGCCGATCTATTTTCAAGTAATGCCAAGCGGCCAGGTATTTTTGATGACAGACTCAAGTACGCGCGAGGCGGAGTGGAGCCGCGATTCGACAACTTTTTGCAAATCTGTCGAATCAATGAAAAAAAAACACAGAGAACCAATGTTTAATCGTACACATGTTCAATAAAAACTTTGAAAACTTTCACTCAAGTTTGTTGAAAATAAAGAAGCCACGTAAAAAATCAAAAGTTTTTCATATTACGCAAAAAATAATGAGAAAAAATTACATAACATAGTGTAAATTCTCTAGCGGAGAAATCGAGACATGTGTATAGTCCGAAAATAATATCTTGCACTAATAACACGAATCGCCTGTATATTTTTTCTTACATTATTGATTCAGGTAAGACGTGTGAAATATTACTGCGTATGATGGAGATGAAATGAGGCGTATAATTATTGCACAGTTCTAAGAATCTCGAATCCAGCTTTGTTTCGACTGCGTGATTAATCTCATATAAGCGGGCTTGAGCTTCACCTGACAGTAAGCTCCCCGCGTTACTTACGATTAGTTGAAATTATAAATCGAGTTAATTATAACTTTCGAGCTAATTATCACCGTAGCGCCGCCTTCATGACGCTTTTATATTACTAGGTAACTAATTATAACTAATTTGGCGGCAACGACTTCATTATACACATTTATTATATTATAGATGCTCGACTATACGAAGAATCGATAGCCACCGTCGACAATTGTACAACTCTAGTCATTTTATTATCTCTAACTTTTATTTTAATTAGTTGTCTAAATTTAATTCCACAATTGCGATTAAATGTGTAAATGTTAACGACACAATTTGATTACTCGCTTTAAATTATCAGATAAGTTTCTTCTAAAAAGAGAAAACAGTCAAATTTAAATATACATGATCTATTAATCATACAGAAATGTAAGAATAGTTTATCTCGAGTGCAAAATCAAATATTCTTTCTTGTTACACTTTCACGTTTCTATTCATTACTCGATACAAGACGATGTAATTATAGTAAGTATTTAGAAATTAGGAGAATTAGTAGTCGCATTAGTAACGGAGTAGTGGGAGAAGGGACGGAAGGGGAAGGGGGGGGGGAGTAAATTAATAACCGTGTCATGGTCCAATTAAACACAGACATCTGAATACAGTGATTCAAAGGATATGTCATTCCGACGTAATGCATTTCGTGGAATTCGACGATCAGTTTGATTAATGTCAATCACAATAATTGAGCAGATAGTGTAATATCTAGCTGCACTCGCATTAGCCATGAGATGCAGTTTCGCTGTCGTGGAGCGTATCAAGAGAGGGCTCAGGAGGATCCTCAGTTTCAACTACGGGATTAATTTTCGAACGATTAGAAGGGAACTCGTGTAAATAAGAGGAAAAAGAAAGAAAGAGACGGAGTTATCCGAAATGTTAGTCGATGAGAGGAGAGACGGTGAATCCGCCGTCAATTTCGCAAAAGCGGCAACAGAAAGGGTGCATAAGCTTGGGCACGGAGCCTCTCGTCAAGTCGGTCCTCTCCCAACCTCGTCATGATACTCTGATCATCCTTTCCCCGCCAATACTTATCTCGCGGGTAATTGTAAATATCGAGTAAATGAGAGATAAACGTGTTACGCATTGTGGTCGAAATCTTCAACACATTCATAATTTTATGAAAGGAAGAATTCAGATTTTAAAAAGATCTTGGCGCAATCGCGTTAATCTGCTAACGCGTGATTTTTGCTAGAATCCAAGCGATCATGTAAATTGCCGTCTACATTTGACATGCAACAAGTCACTTTTTGACTATATATAACTATGAAAGAATTTATATTAACATTAAAGATTCTGTTACATTACGTTGTAACAGCATTCGTTTCACAATATCGACATATTACAAATAATCATTTTCCTCAATAGGTAATCAGTTTTATTATTTAATGAACAATTTCAAGTGAAATTACGAAACTGCACTAACCGCAAGATATCGCTGCAATTATCATTAGGTGAAGTTAGTTCTGGACACCGATTGCCACAACAACGGTTAGACGACTTTAAGCTAAATTAAGTATTCTTTAATATTCCATATTGAAAAAAGGATTCACGCAAAGAACAGCCCATCTTTCTGCGAAACAAAAATACTTTTCGTTTCGGACTTTGGACTTTATCAGTTATATTCGAGAACATGTCAACCGCGACAACGTAGGATTATCTCTCCACATGTTCGCTTGGACAAAGTACCGTATGGATTTGATAATGCACGAGAATACGAGAATTTTATCTAGAAAAAGAAACATATTCGTCCCCGAAGCGATAATAATATATCGAGTGTCCTGATAAAAACGCGAAAAAATTTCTTAAACATAAACAAGAACATTACATAACGAACAAGATATAAATTGGAATAATATTAATCGTGGATTCGTATACATTGGTGAATTATGTCTTACAAAAGTTAACTGTTATTATTATATTTCCTGTTCAATTAAACATTAAAAGCACGGATGGGAGAGGCCAGTACAATCGCCCGACGTTTACAAGATAATGCACAATAGATAAATATATAGTACATACACGCCAATTATATATATATATATATATATATATATATACATATATATATATATATAATACACAGAAGGAGAGACATCGAAACAGAAAAACGTTTCTCAGTCTCGAGAATTAGCTTTACCTTCGGGTTCTTTGGCAATGACCGTGCTGCTCCGGTCGACGCCGCCCTTCTTATCCTCTGTACAACATACACACACATACATCACGTATACGATATACGAATATACAAACAGTTTATATTATTATATAACGCTTAAGATATTCAGACGGAATATAGCCACGTCGCATGATAAAAAGGAAGCTTATTTTTCTCGATTTATTTAAATTAATATACATAAATCGACAATATATTGCTTCCTCATTAAAAGAATATATTACAGAAAAGTGAAGCCTGAAAACAAACAACAAATTGTTGGAAAAATTTTATTATTAACTTGACAAAACTGAATCACTTCTGATTGAGAATGCTAAGAAAAAAAGATAGAAAATTAATGAATTATGTTAATGGAAATATTCGATAAATAAAGTTATGAGAAAATAAATTAAAATCAATCAATCATCACCGTGTAAGTAAAATCATAATATATATCGTAGAATTAGAAGTTATATGCAGATTCGCTTCATTTTTCCGCGATATATTCGCCTTATGATAAAAGAGGGTCTTCTTCGATAACTGCAATTAAACTTGGATTCTTATGTAGCGGTAAGTGACCGAATTCCATGATACTGACATTTATTTACAGATACAGATTTTATTTTTCGTTGCATATTTCATGTTATTAATGATAAATAGCAATAACTAATAAAGCAGCACAGACAGATATTGCGTATATACATACATATGTATATACACAAGACGATATCGTTAATAAATAGTGAATACTGCAGAATAACTATTTATACGTGTAAGATAAACAATCGAAATGATATTAAAAATAAATCCGATTCTTATATCATCAATTATAAAATCATTAAATACTGATAAAAGATTGAGAAAGCACGGCTCTCATTGTCAGTAGAGAATCGCCAGGGGACGATTTCAAAGGGCTTTTTACTCGAGAGAGAGAGTTTACTAAACTTTCAATAATATACTTTTATGCCTTCGGATAAAATTTCTATGACGATGTAGATACTCCCCCAACGCGAGCTACTTTAAATCTCAATAAAGCGTCCGTACAAAAATATATATATATAATATATCGTTACACCCTTCGTGACATTTTTTATTACGGAATTTTTCACAAGTAATAATGAGAGTTATGCTAATCATGCTTTTATTACCTATATAATTATATCTGAGTACTTGATAGTTTGTACGATGACAGAAAAATCTCCTCGTGTAAAATAAAGGACGTCATTTTGCACAGAGTATTAATCGTGTAAATTGACAGCGATCGATTTCTTTTGCACACGACCACGGCCGCTAAACCGCGCGATAACACTTGTAATATATATTGTGATAACAAATATAACTTACAATTAGTAGAGTGATGACAAGGGCGTAACGAAATATTAAGTGGCATTTGTGATTGAGACGAAATTGTTACGATCGTATCACGATTTTAATATTCTTTTTATCTTGGTTCTTTTCACTTATGGGAACTACGAAGACGTGCGGTGCCGTTACCATCGAAACTCTATGTATACAGTGTTTTATTTTAATCGCCCCAGGCAAATATTTCGAAAAATATGAAAGATAGGACAAACCGTTTCAGACAAAAGTTGTTTGGTTCAAAGGGGGACATAAGATGGTGTCATGATCTGACCTTGGGTGAACGTGGCATATGGAGTTGAACTTAGTTTTTTTAAACGAAACCCCCTATTTTTCATTGCATATATTTGTAGCTTACCTCGAGAGCTTTTCAAAACACTATAATAAAGTGCTTTTTCATTCAGTATTTTTTGAATTATAAGGCTTGAAAGTTACAGTACCGCCGGCATTAACATTACCCAAGATAGATCCAGCCAGTGAAGGCTCTTGACCCTTGGGTAATGCCCCGACGGTACTGTAAATTTCAAGTCTCATAACTCGGAAAGTATTACACTTGATGAAAAATAACTTAATTATAATTGGAAAGCTCTCGAAGTAAGCTATAAGAATATCTTAATTATTAGATGGAGAACTAAATAATTTTTGTCTCAAATGTTTTACCGTATCTTTCATATTTTCGAGATATTTGCCTAGGGCGATTAAAATGAAACACTCTGTATAACAAAAAAACGGTCATCACACAGACAAAAATTGGAATACAATCGATTAATAATCGGGGCAGGGGGGCAGTGGTGGAAAGTGCACTTTGCAATAAGAACGTGCATACGTCGATGAAAACACGTATCGATCGTATCTCGAGTAGTAGGGAAGTTAAAAAAAACAATAATGCGTGCAGATCGAGCCGATCGTACGGTTTTAACACTTTGCTCGCGATATTTGACGAAAAATCACATACTAGAAATATTGATATTTACTACATATAAACCAGAAGATTAAAAGTTTTAATAACAATTGCTTTTGACATATGGTAAAAACGTTTTCTTGTCATTGGAATATTACATTTTTGACATGGCTATTTTGTGTGTTCGATTATTCGAATTCTTGAATGGTTAGATACGATGAAAATGTTCAATTTCTAAGCTTGTAATTACACATTGACATAATAAAAATAATTGTTATCCTCTCGAACGCTACACGGAGAGAATTCTCTCTTAAAATTTATCCTGAAAATCATGTAATCGTGGGACGAGGTGACATTTCGAAAAACTGTCACAAAGTTGTTGAAAATGCCACGTTGTCCGACGATTACATGATTTTCAGGGTAAATTTTAAAAGAAAATTCTCTCCGTGTATAAACCAGATTTTATATTTAGATCTATCTGCGTTCAGTGCGAGACTACATTGACGCGATCGAGCATAAAAAATAAACACGAAATTCATATATGTACGTGAAATTATTTAATCTGTAAAATGTAAAGATTACAATAAAAAATGATGGGATCGTACACGAAAGTTGGCGTTTATTTTTTATAAAAAATAAATTGTCAAAAGAAAAATAAATGTTGTAATTCCTCTCTTTCCTTCCCTTATGTCATATAGTCTTCTCGACATTCGGTTTGAGAGTTAGCAAAAGGCCGTACGATGGCGAGCAAGCGTACTATAGGCGGGGAACATGCGAGAAATCGGATTGACGCACGAAAAAGAAGCAACCGAAAGAAGGAAGTGAATGGAATCAATTCGTAGTCGGCTGTTGAATGGCTGGAGGGTGAAATGGTGAAATTCAGTCGGCGAATGAAGCGGACGAGCGAGTGAGGGAGAGAGAGAAAGAGTGAGGTGAAAATACGGGGATAGTGAGACAAGCTGTAGAGCGAAAAAAAGGGAGACGGAAATACAACACGGGTTGGTGTTCATAAATCCATAACACTGGGCTAACATCGAGAGTCAAGATCAGTCAAGATTTGTGACGACGACAGAGAGTGGTGTTGTGTGTTTGTTAGATTGTGTATTTGTGCGTGCATGCGTGGGTGTTTGTACGCACGCGTTTGCATACATACATGTGATTTCAAATTTCGTGTGGTAATAATGACCTAAGTATGTACGAGTAAGGGCATATTACGATGCAAGGAGTTGAAAGAAGGTGAAGAGATCGTTTAAGAACAGGATCGCAGCACGATCGTGTTCCTTGAACGGTGCACGTGGAGGAGTCACACAGAGAAAAGTACATGGAGAAAATCGGGACGGAATTCCGGAACATGTTTGCTCTGTTATTTGCCACTAGACCCTCTGAAATTGACTTTATCCTGATCCGCGCGATCAGTTTTGCTGATAAATCCACACGGTAATGTGATCCGAATAGTCAACTTACATAAATAATATAAATCGTTTCATGAAATGGAATTTTATTTACACTGCTGGAGACAATGTAGGATAATTCCAACTCAAGAGTGCAAATATTAAATATTTTATCATTGGCAAATTTCTAGTCATTTATCCAATGATTGGGACACAATTCCATTTGATTGTACTTTTCTCTCCGTAGAGTTGGTTAAAATAATGACCCATTAATATTATTATCACTGCCACGTGAATTTTTATTACTATGTTTCACGCCGCGAATTATTAATAAATGAAGAAATATTCAAGCAAGCTCAACGCGACATACATAAAATATATGCTTTGCCTAAGCGACTACTTTTTCCTCCATTTACCATCACGCGACATCCCAACAATAAAAATTCATTTAGTTTCTCTTTACCGATGACAAACAGTTGGCTCGTCACATCCTTATTCTACCGCTCTGGTTCACGGATAACACCAGGAGAGAAAATCAGAGCCAATTGATCAGGAGTAACGATACATAGTCCGAAACGTGGCAGCAAAACAGGGGAAATATAAAATGTACAACACCGAGGAGGTGTGTGTGTGTGTGTGTGTGTGTGTGTGTGTGTGTGTGTGTGTGTGTGTGTGTGTGTGTGTATGTGTGTGCGCGAGATAAGGAAACACAAATACGCCAGATGAGATCTAAACGTGCGGAAGTAATGATCGTGATACGTTGCCTAAAAAGCTTAAAAGTTTTCATAATCAATTTGTTTTGTCTGCTGCTAATATATTCGATGTCGAAAAGTCCGTTAGAAATATAAACAACGCAAAGAAAGAGAAATACAAATATCGATACTGTACCTATACATATGAAGATGTACCATATATAGATACGTATACTATGTAAGTACACGGAAAGAATTTTCTTTGACAATTTATCCTGAAAATAATGTAATCGTGGGACATGATTTTTAAGATAAATTTGAAGAGAAGATTCTCCCCGTGTAGATAAATTGAGAGAAATTATTAGCCCGAATGAAACCGCTCGTTTCCGATTCGTCATTCGCAAACTCACAATTGCAATCGATAGAGCAATTCTGAAAGAATCCGAGAAACTAGCCGAAAACGAGCACCTTTCGTTTGGTGATGAAAGCGTAGTTAGTTGCAAAACCGCGAAGAAAGAAAACAGCGGGAAAGTTAAAAGTTTCTCTGTACTAATTGCGGCTCTAAAAGACAAAAGACAAATATGCTGGAAAAGAATGGGCAAGCAAAAGCAGCGTGAGCCGATTCGTGGTCACCGGCTGTTGAAAAATTAACATGAACGAGAATGAATAAGAATAGAAGAGAGAATAGATAAACATCGAGATTAACATGAGAAAGGTATCGTACGTAATAATACCGAATGACAATAATGCCGTAATCGCGCACAGTAGACTTACGTTAGAAGAAATTATAATCCTTTCAGCTCGTCTAAATGGTAAAGAAATTCACTACGCGTACGTAAAATTAGCGTTCACATTATATTAATAATAATAAGAATAATAATCATAGTGTAATAACAATAATAAAACTACCTTTAACCATTAATCGTGTATGCTTAAAATTCATTCATCGAAGCTTGATACACACTGAAATATTACTATTACTATTACTTGTGTAATATTAATCTTGGAAGGCTATTTCTCCCTTTTGTTTCTCTGCGATTATGCTCGTTCGAATGGCAAAGTTTTACATGGCAAAACTTGAATAAGACTCGAATAAGTAGGAAACGTCGTAATAAACAGAGTTAGCCGTTCAAGATTAATTTGTCGCAGCTATCGCTACTTGGACTATATTCTACGAATCCATTTTCTTCAATGTGCTACTGCATATACCAGACCAGAGAATGTACACCAGAGAGAAACGCGTTCAAATTTACAACACTACCGAATTGTATAATCGTCAATTATCTTTCTGTACCGCGAGAAAGCGTTGTCTAATTATAATCGAGCCTGTTTGTCTTACGTTATTAAAAATGATGGCCTGTGCGGTAATCGCTAAAAAAAGATGCATTGCGTCAATAGGGGAACTTATGATAATGGTGGTTGCAGATAGTGGTAGATACTTAAATTTGCGGCATATACCTACAAATTGATTCGTGTTGCACACGTGTACATCGCCAGTGAATTATTTCCCAAGAAAAAGTGTAGGCGAGAAAAAGAATAATACGCGACGTAACAAAAGCGCGAGGCCGATGAGTGACACGAAATCAGTCAATTTTTCGCCCGACGTGTGTAAATGCGAAAAATCAGGATCTGCCGTGAACCAGAGCAACTTTTGCCTTGTTTTTTTTCCTTTTTATATTATATATTTTTTGCGTTATATTCTAGTTGCTTTTAAATATATATGGATATGGCATAAGCACAGATTGTTGATAAATTTTAGTACAACTTGTGTACGTATATTCTTTTGAAATATATATAATAAAAAGTGTAGAAAAAAGCAAATGGGTTAGCCGATTTTTGTAATTTCTTTTATCGTCACCCTTGTTACACAGATCCTCGAAATATCGACCGTTTATAATTCACGTGGAAAAACAAACGTGATTACCAGACGATTATACGCCATGTTTGAGCTGTTAAATAATTGAATGTTGATTAATGATTTCGCGTGTACAAACAGTTGGACGATATTTGCGTTAAAGCGCGATTACTCGTGCTCCGTTCGTCGTCTACTCGACTTAGCGAAAAATATTTCGTGCAAACGTACGATATAATATTTCTTTCCCCAGCTGCGAGCTTATAAGCGTCAGTAACGTCCGGTAACCCGTGCGTGTAATTAAACGGATGCAATCGCAACGATCACATTTCCGTGGCCGAATAATACGATGAACGTGTGTGAGTTCTCAAAGAGAATTGCGCTTGGTCTATGATGTTTGTAATCTGATTATGTACGGTGCATTTTCTTTTATTTGCTGTCACAACACGCGTGCGCACGTCACTCGTCTACGTGTGTTATGGATTTGTGAGCATCGGCTACTGGGGCATAAAACAACAGTGTTATCACTTCTCACGCAGCTGTTGAATGCATATTTGGTGCTTTGCCTTTACGGTGTTTCTATTAATGGAAGACGGACACGGAGCCATTTCAGTCGTGTGAACGTGTATACGTATGTTTGAATGAAGGCATGGAAAACAGATGGCATCTGTTCACTTTCGTTTAGTTTATTTTGCCCAATTTATTTCAACTCGCCATCAACCGCGCATAAAATACAGGGTCACGCGAGTTTCTATGTATATACAAAGTGCATCCAAAATTGCGTTTGCCAGATAATATAGGTGTCGAGGAAAATTCGGAAAATTGGACGCAAATAAGTTGAAGTATTTCATATATTATAAATATGAATGTATGTAATAACACGTCAATTACAATAGAGAAATATGCATTTGTGTGATGCCGATGAATAAGGTATGAGTTTTTGCGTGCCGTGTAGAGAATGTTTGAAATTTTTTAAGCGAACGTTGTTCTCTCGGATATCCGACAAATGATATGCTGTAAGGTAGGAGAGGAGATCAGCGGATTCATGCACAGATAATTTCAATTGTATTGTACTTTCTCTCAGCCTATATCCAAAACGCAAAATCCATCCAAATATTGTTACAATTGTTATGTATCACAATAATCTAATCTGTTAAATTTTCAAGTTAAACAGTACAATACGGTTAAAAGAATTATTTCCGTGAATCAAAGTTCGAATATCGAAATCCTCAGGCGGAAGTCTGCCTTGTTCAAATGTAGAAACGGAATGAGTCTGTTAAATTTCTTGGAATACGCGAAACAACGAATTAATGAAGGAACGAGATCGATATTCGCGCGGTTCAGTACTGTTTCGAAATGAAGGCATATCCAAGTTTTCGACTTCCATTTTAACGAATTGTTGTGCAATACATAATGATTTCGCTCGTGAATGTGTAACACAACGGTATTCACGTTATAAAGCATCGATTATACCTGAATTACATATCGCGAGTTATATTCCTAAAGTGAAACAAGATATCCATTGTTTTGCGTACGCCTGTATGTATCGGAAACGGTGTGTCAGAAAAGGGAGAGTACCATTAATAGGGCACATATGATAGAGAAATTGCAAAAGAGACATCGACTGCCAGAGTTAGTCAGAAACTTTGAAAGATAGTTCTCATATGAGAAGACAGATTCGAAGATGATAACGTACGAAACGAGGTAGATTCGACCTATATCAGATCGAAGCTGATGAAGACACGTAATGCATGTTTAAACAGGTGGTTCTAAATATATATATGTATATATGCTAATGTTTGCTAGATACGATTAATTACAAGTTTCAAGCGTAGACAACTGTACTGACAAGTGTCAATCATATCGCACGCGTATGTTAGTACGATACTTTTGTAAGATCTAGAAAAGCAATACAGTAATGTGCTCGTCGAATATAACGGGGGAAATGAGGATTCCTACGAGAATGTGTGCGCACTCGCGTATATGTAATTTTTATAGAGATATCCTACATCAAATTTTGCATATCTATATATCGATATATACTGTCTTGCTTTTCATTTGTGTGTATGGGTATCTTCGGTGAACTTTGAAGAACGTACACGTATGATCGAACGTGGACAGACGGAAGACAAATAAAATACGAAAGAGATCGATCGACAAGTGTATAGTCAAAAGAGTCTACAGAGGCAGAGAGAAAGATCAAGGCGAGATTGATTTTTCTACGAACCAGGAGGCAGGGACAAAACTCGAGATTCTGCGACCGAGAGTACACCATAAGGTATAGTTTTATACAACTTGTTAATAGAATACCAATTATCGATTCGGAAAAAACATTACGAGAAAACAACTTTTTGCGAATGTTTAATTGTATCCAATTGTTGCTTGAAATAAAAATAAGTTTAAATAAGATTCTTCGGAATCGACATTCTCATCCATAAACCGTTGCGGTATAGCCGTGAGTATATCAATAATAATCGAAGCACAGGTGTACGCAAGGTGAAAAGAGGGTGGCAGGACCAAAGAATAAGCAACGAGTGGATACTACTCGAGCTATCGTCCAACGATCGAATTGCACGTGAGAACGAGACAAGTATCTCTAATGACGGATCGATGCGCGCGCGCAATGAGAACATTCATGTAATAAATTTATCTTCCGCAGTAATTGCGGTACATAAACGTAGCGTCATGTTAATGCGTGACGATACACTAAATAAAAAAGATGAGAAAAATGATGGAATATCCCAGATATATGAGAGGTCTGATGCAACGTGATCTCTTACATTTCGTACAGTTATACGCACTGTTAGCTATTACATTATTGATACTAGCCGATGAAATTCAATTAAATTGTCTTTCTAATTAAATATGAACAATGAAATGTAAAATTTAGACGAGATTCAGGTGCACATTATGCATATATGCGACAAGTCGCCTGTATTCAAGTTTCTCATCAAGTTGCCATAACAAGTATGCGGTAAAGAGATAGATATACACGCCGCGAATCGCTGCCGGAAGCTTGTGTATCGAGCCATTGTTATCGGGACTATCACTGCGATTATTCTGCCCGTGTGACGGCAATACCGCTGCGACGGCGTTGGAATCGCTATCATAATTCAATCCGAGCTTTCGAGCACAACTTTAAACAAATGCTCGTTGCGGCAACTGAAATTGCGCGACTATTCTGCGTGTTCTGCGTGTCAAAATTATTAAAAATCGCTAAATATCCACGTGAAAAAATTTCGGATATCTATACGACGCGGCGACGCAAAATTCGCGAAGGCTCACCCGTGATTACAAGATTAAAAAATCGATAGCCTACAATTGGTTCATTTGATAATCACTGTTAAAAAACTTGGTATGTTTTTTCTCATCACGAGAACAGAAAGGAAAAGTGAGAAAAAGAGACACGACGCGTATAAAGGACGGAGATCTCCTACCTTTAACATCATCGTCTTCGATCGTTGTGCTGCTGTCAGTGGACTCCTTCACTTGAGAGCCATCGCCCTTCTTCGTGATGATGCTTCGACCTGGAGTGCGTAGAGCGTTTCAATAAATCGACAAACGGAAAAGTGAAAACGAAGGAAAGAGGTCGAGAGAAATATAGCGGAACAAAAGTAGTATCAAAGATTATCAAAGATAGGAACGAGAAAGGAAAAGAAAATAGCAAGATAGAGAGAAAGAGACACGTTGTAAAGCAGGGATTTTGAAACGAGGATGTCAACTAGGAGAATATCAAGGTTGGATTAGATGGGTTCACTCTTGGAACCTTGGAGTGTATACTCAGATCCGTTTCTCGATACCTCGAGATGGTTTTGAGAATGTTTCTCGATTTTAAATGTGCTCCACGCCATATTATATAACTAATGTTGAACGCTCGAATTTGAGAGGAACAGCTCGTTTGCTTCAGATGCAGTGAAATTAGCTTTCTTTAGAGTAGAAGAGAGAGAAAAGAAGAGATGGAATGAACATTAAGTATATAGATATCTTCTCTCTATCAATACTATCGATCGCGAAGCAAAAATGCAATCAAATACCGCCGATATATAATAATATCTGCTCGTGTTGTTCGCTTCGTGCGCATTGAAAAAGAATGTTGATTCAATCCGTCGAACGTTCGTCCGGAATAATTGACGTCGCACTAACGAGTATAGTATCACGAATTTTTGTATTTCACACTTTTATATTAATCGCGAGAGATATATTTTCATATCGATGTAATCGTAATCTTTTTTTCTGCATCTTTTGCAACTCAATTTCATACCTTGCGTTTTTACAAGTCATAACCTTTAAGTTTTACAAAAGGAATATAGATCTCCTGTCGCATAAAAAAGAAACTCGTGTCACGAGTGCAAAATGTGAAGAAAACTTTATTGCTGAAATATCATATACCGTCTACAGTTCCCCAATTAAATATTTTATGTTCCTTTCAAATTCCAGCCCTAACTGCTAACTAGTGTGATAATAATTACAATATGTTCATTAATTAGTTTAACCGAAATTATTAATTGTAATATTTATGCTTATTATTAGTACAAGTAAAATTAATAATTATTCGTGTTTTCAACATGCAGAATTAAAATGGGTATTTGCACATACTTGGCAAATACGTTATACGAATTGTTAAATAAAATAGAAATAATTTAATGATTAAAACACATTTGCAAACACATAAACGATCGATTAACGAGCTCAAGATCGCCGAGGATCAAGATATATGAACGGATTGTGCATTGGATTGGATCTGACGGAAATAACTATTCTAAAGGAAGACGAATCATGGAGAAGAGAAACAGATAGAGAAAGACTCGATGGAAAAGTCAAACATTAGAGCAAATGTGTTCATGCTGTGATAAACTGTTTTCCTTCATGCGATTTTTAGTCGACACGCCGACTTAATCTCCTTAATATGTTTCCTAACAAATACAATAATCTACCTTCGTTTATCTAATATCAAAGGATAAGTACAAGCTGTATGACGAAAACGGCACTTAACAAAATATATATCGAGACGTGTAGCTTTGACTTGTCTTCTTGGAAGACTTAGATAAGCGAAGGTGGAGTGTAAATGCATGCCATGCAATTCGATATAGTGAAGCAAGTATTTCATTGTCGGCTATGTTATTTTCATGTTAAGCTACACGCTCTCAAGACGATGAAAAACGAATGTAATAGAGGAATTCATTCAGTTTATGGTAAAAACCATATTTCTATATGTATGTAAATTAGAGGAAATTAAAAAGAAGAAAAACAGAAACAAAATGCACGTCGCAAAACTAAAGTTAAGAGTAACTTCTATCTAATTTCTGATTAAAGAAACGTTGACGAGTTTCGCGAGGAATACTTAACATTAACTTCATTGTGATAGGACTCGGTAAAGAAAATAACTTGTAATTCTCTTCTTATTACTGAGCAACTTTAACAAACATTCATTTCGAATTATAAAACGCTCGCGTTCAATAAATTAGCGCTTTTAATTCTCTTTTGCGTTATCATTGCATATGTATAAAACGATGTTACGAGCTTAACATTTTAAAAATGAAATGAGTACGGCTCTTAGGCTGCATCAAAGATAGTCTGTTCGTTTGATACGAAAGAAAGCGCTCGAACCTCTGGAAATGTGAAAATAAGACGATTCCTTGGAATTAAGAATTTACACAGTAGAGAGAAACAGTCTGATCATTAACAAAACCTTATCCTTTTTATGTACAATATTTTTACCATGTAAAAGGCGAGGATATCAATTCTCTTTGAAATTACTATCAAAATAAGGATATATCCGAAAACGAAATTATTTAGAAATTCATATTCAACATTTCTAGAACAGCTGAATTTGAGAAAGATACCCAATTTTTTTTTCAATCTACATTGCGCAAAAAAGTCTACATAAATTTATTTTTAATACTAATATTTATCTACAGTATCTAAATAAATTTATTCAAATCTAGCGGCTCCAATTTCGGCAAGATAATGTTTTTGTAAGATACTTGCTGGTATGAGAATAATATTGGTCAGCGAAATAAAAATACAGCAACATTTAAAGCAAACATTCGAGCCGGGTTCCGTGACGCGCATGTAATGTGCAGACACATTGCTGTGAGATATAGATGCATAAAAAGCATAAGCAGAAAGAGAGTGACAGAGACGTACGCATGGTTAATGCGCGAATTAGCGAATCGAAAAGCGGAATGCCAAAATGCCAAGAGAGGGACGACGATTCGTATGGAGACCCAGCGTTTTCGAGCCGGATTAACGTGCCGACCCTAGTACGAAGGATTTCATTCTTGTGCCGGACAAAGAACCTAACTTAAACAACGCGTCGTACCTTGCACATTTATTCTCGTTAATTATAAAATGACGTTTTGTAATTGGACTTTTGCTATAGAAATATCATGGTGTAGATTGCTATAGAAATAAAATTTTATAATATTTTAATTTTTTTAAATTGAATTTATTCTAAAATAAATAATAACACTTTTAAACACTTAAAATATATAGGATAATTCTATTTAAAGTTCCCTAAACGGGAATAATTTTTTTGTTTTTATACAATAAAAAAATTAACTTTTGAAATAAATTGCAAATACCACATTTTTATTGAGCATTTTTCGTCGAAACAAAATTTCAATCGGAAGCTCTCGCGCGAATCGGTCGTCCCTCACTATCTAATATCATCGACAGTAACTCATGTGTAACGTCTCGTGTATATCTGAGGACTCGTGTAAGCGTGACATATCGTTTATCACTCGAGCCCTACTCTATTATCGAATCAAGTAGGAGCGCCGAAAAAAGTCGTCGCAAGAATAAAGCGCATCCATTTTGCACCTCCGACCCATTTCGCGCGCTACGGTCTACCTTTGTCAAAAAAAAAAAAAAATTAGTCAGTCATAGATAGTAGAGAAAAAGTAGAGATAAATAGATAGACAGAGATATGTGTAGAAAGAAAGAGAGAGATAGAGAGAGAAAGAGAGAGAGAGAGAGAGATTTATTCGTCAATGCTAGTTACTCGCATTCTCTCAAGGGAGGGCATAGGCAGACGGGCCCTAGTTCGGGAATTCATGGATTCATGGATTCTCCGGAAACCCTCGAGGCCCTATATGCGCAGTTTGGGATTCATAAACCCATACGTAATTCGCGCGGTTCTGCCATTCGTGGTAGAAATACACGCGGATAGAAATACATAAATTTACACGGCACCCAAATTCATGGCCGCGAGCAATGCGACGTAACTTTTGATTTAAACGTCTACTCCATAGTCTCGGAAAACACTATATAAATTAAACCTATATGAAACTTGCATTATAATTTCAGTAAATATATGTTAAAAGCTTGTTATATTTCCTTTCCTCTGGATTGAAGTATGTATAACTTGCGATACATTTTATTTGTACAAAAACACGCGAATAAATAAAAAACAATGTAGGTCAGCTTTGTACAATTATATCTATGATGCATCAGTGATTACAACGATAAAAACATAAAGACTCGCAAAGCAATTGTTTTTGCGGAAAAGACAAAGTATAATATTGCGTGTCACAAAGATTTTGAATTTTTTCATCGCTGTGAGACAATGTTCCGTTCGATATGTGTTGAAAAGACAAATTAACGTGTACGTGGCCAGTGCTTTTGAGAGAACATGAGCAACCTAAACCTAAACCTAAACTTAGAATATGTGAGTATGCAATCGGAGAATAATGAATGAGTCTGGGAATTCCTCAACGATCGATCGATCGATGACCCTTTGCGAAGGACCCGTAATCTACTGTACATATCTAGATGGAAAACGCAATTCGCGATCCATTATGAAATTCTCAGCAGATATACCTGCGATAATATATGAGTATCGTGATTTCCGGTAATTATCGTCGACACCGTTACTGTCTCACTGAAAGGGAAGGGAAAAGCAAGTTATCGCGAATTATCGAAATCTGACCGAGCTATATGTATATGGTACTAACGAGCATGTTTTCTTTGTGAGGAAATTACGTAAAAAAATAAAACTTCATGTTCCAATGTAGCGAGCTGCGTGAATGTAACTTGGAATGTTTACTTCAATTTAAGATAAAATTAACCCTTTTATTTAGTATTCAATATTACAATCAATATTATACCGTTCTTGGAAATTTATTAATATTGATTGTTTCTTAAACATTAAATTTTGTCGGAAGGTTTAATTTTATCCGAAAGATAAAGACGTCAATATCTTTAGTTGCGGCTAATTTTGTGCGCTGCAAATGTAACAAACATAGCAAACATTTTGACATGATTGCTTCGACATAAACTTCATCGCGAGATTGAAAGGGTAAAAAATCCTCTTTAAAACCGCAGCTATTGACGAAAGCGGAGAAGGAATTTGTTGTATGCCAATTCCATGAGTTTGTTTTACATCAGATACGACGCAATCGCGCAAAGTCGTGAGATTTAATTTTTTTTTACTTAGTTTTCAGAATATACCGAAATGGAATTAAAAGTTGAGCTCACTTTTCGTCACCACGTCAACTTTCTACCGATTTTTACCGTTCAAATTTAT